TAGTAAATTTTAAAAAGCAGCTATAAGGCATCTTAGCATAACACATAAATTATCTATAGTATACTACTTATAAATAGATAGTTAAACTAAAAAAGTAAACATAAAAGTAGAAAAGTACTTAAGAAAGTACATCTTTTATAGCTAAAATAATTAAGTAGAATAGCTTTTTATAGAATAACTAGCTATTAACATAGTAAAATTTGCTATAATAAAGAAAACGCTATACTAAGCTAACTTTAGCTATAACTTTTATTTTACACTATATAAAAACTAGCTTACAGACTTTTAAAAATTAATTAACTAGTTATTAAGCCTATAAAATATATATAAGAAATTTGTAATTAAAGCTAGATCTAGTTAGAAGATAATAGAATAATATATAAATAAATTATAATAACTTAGACTACAAATCTACTTAAAAGATTATATTTACTTTAAAACTAAAAACCTTAAGATACGTAGACTCTTTAGAAAGCTAGTAAAAAAAAGATAAAGCTTTATAAAGTTCTATAAACTTAATAAAATAACTGTAAGCTTAAGCTTCTCTTATATATAAAAATACACCTATAGTTTTATGTTTCTAAACTAAAAAAAGCATTTAAAGAAATCCTTTTATCTATATAAAAATAAAAAGATAAGAAAATTAAATAACGTACTTCATAGGCAAGTTGCTCACACACCTGAGTCGCTTACTTTTGCTAAGACCCTACTAAACCACCCTTTCTATACTAATGCATTCCCTACAACACTACTTAGACGCGCTAAAAGAACGTTAGATACAGCTTACGCTCTAAGCTTTTAAATAAGATATAAAACTTTTAAAGAAATGTGCTGTAGCTATGTGCAAAGTCTTATAAAAGACAATAAATAACTACAGCGCTAGACAACCTTTACAAGCTAATTCTACAGCTAAATTATAAAGGCTAGGTAATAAAAAGAAGCAGGTAATTATTAAGACTATACTTAAGCTATATGCGCAAGGAATTTCCTCTTAAATAGCATTTATAGCTAATATAGCTAATTCTTTGCGCGCTAAGCATAATCTAGGCTATGTTTACATAAACTAGCCTAGTACGTTTGTAAAGCGTTATTTAGAGCTTAAAGTAACATTTAAGCGTAAGTATAACTATAAGAGAGCCCTTTATAAGAGTCCTAGGGTAATTTAGGGCAGGTTTAGCCTTATAAAGAATATTAAAGCTAAGTATAGCATCTAGGATAATAACACGTACAACTTTAGCAAGACAGGGTTTATAATTAGCTAGATATCTCTTAACTATACTTGCACTTAAAACTTTACTTTAAGCTCTAAATAACACTTTACAAATGTACTAGGCTAGTTTATGTAAACATAGCCTAGATTATGCTTAGCGCGCAAAGAATTAGCTATATTAGCTATAAATGCTATCTAAGGGGAAATTCCTTGCGCATATAGCTTAAGTATAGTCTTAATAATTACCTGCTTTTTTTTATTGCCTAGCTTTTATAATTTAGCTGTAGAATTAGCTTGTAAAGGTTGTCTAGTGCTATAGTTATTTGTTATCTTTTACAGGACTTTGCACATAGCTATAGCATATTTCTTTAAGAGTTTTATGTCTTATTTAAAAGCTTAGAGCGTAAGCTATATCTAACATTCTTTTAGCGCGTCTAAGTAGTGTTGTGGGGAATGCATTAGTGTAGGAAGAGTAGTTTAGTAGGGTCTTGGCAAAAGTAAGCAACTTAGGTGTGTGAGCAACTCGCCCATGAAGTACGTTATAAAGTAAAACATATTATTAGTAATTAAAGAAATAAAAGAGAGTTTTTAGTAAAAATACTTAAAAACTTACGAAGAATTTATAGAACACGCAGCTATTAGTATAAAAGTACTTTTAAGCTTATTTAAAAGAAACTAGCTAGGTAATAAAGCACTTATTTTAAAAAGAATAGCTATGCTATTATTAGATAGTAGTAGCCTTTAGAGACAAGTTCTTACTAAAAAAGGTTAAAAAGGTAAATAGCCTTTTACTTTAGCCTTAAAGGCCTCTATTTTGTCTAAGAAAGATAGGTCTTTTTTAAGTACTTTACATAATAAGCTTCTAACAAATTTAGTAATTTTTAGATATAATTTTATTTAAAACACTTTTTAGCTTTTACCTTTACTAACTTTTAAAGCTAATAAGTTATCTTTTTATTAAGCTCTTACTTATAGACCTTTACTACTGCTGCATTTTAAAGAACCTTTTTTTTAACTAATTTTATACAGTATTTAAAATAAAAGCATTACACTTACTATTCTTCTTTACACATTTTACACACTTATTTAATAATAAAGTTAACACATAAGATAACTTTAATAATTAGTAAGCACTATAGAGTTACATCTTTATCTAATAAAAAAAATTAAAGTAAAAGATAGTATAAGAATAATAGAATAAATAAGACTAATAAGCTATTTAGTAAAAAAAAAAAATGTAAAAGATGCCTTTTAGTAAGTAGACATTTACTTTATAAATAAACTCTTACTAGCGCAGTTGTGCAAGCAGAGCAGCAAGGACGCTACTAGAGAGGAGGGGCAGCGTGTTACAGTCTATAGTTAGACTAACATAACTCTACCTGTAGTGCTCTATAATTTACCTAGGATAGGATAGAGCTTACTTATAGACTAATTAGAGGATACAGAAGCAGCGTAACTGCCTATAGTTATAGAAGAATGCGTTATCTAATAGAAAGGTAGGCTACAAGTCTAACAAGTCTAAGAGAGTTTATAGAGCTACGCTTAGTAGGCTTATATAAACTTATTTTACTTATTCTTAGCACTTTAACATGTATATAGTTCTAACCTTAAATAACCTTTAGTAGGTGTGTTTAATGTTTAGTTTATTTTTTTACATAGACTAAGTAGCATTCTAGCTTTTTAAAGAGCTATAATAGTATTTATATATCTGCACTATATATACCTCTAACCTTGTCTAACAGGACTGTTTAACCTAGCTACTATACTGCTGCCTAAGGGCAAACTATAATCTAGTTACTCTACCTCCCTCTATTAGCCTAGTAGCCTTTACGTAGAACTGTACACCCTGCTGTTAGCCTCTACTACCTGTCCTACCCTACTAGGAACATCATTAACCTAAGTGCTTCTACAAAGCAAGGATTGTAACACTTTTAGACTTACTTTCTTCTATTCTAAAGCCTCTCGCACTTTAATTACCTTTGTATTACTCTTTAGATATACTGTATAATGTTTTTTAAGAAAATTAATCTGCTTCTAGGTTAATAAAACCTAAGCTAAAGTGTAAGCTTTTATAGCTACTAACTCTACTTTTTTTTTATATAGTAGATTACAGCCTAATATTTCTTCTAATAAGCTAAAAAAGCTTGCTTATTACTTTTAAAGTAACGTACCTAACAGGTTGGCCGGCCACACGGGTTGGCCGGCCACTTTTGCTAAGCCCCTACTAAAACCACCCTATTCTCTTGCAAAACAGCCTACTTTAGCCCTATATAAAGTAATACAACATAAGATATTATTTAGAGTTTACTTCTACTACTTGCTTACACATATGTAAGTTATGCCTAGTCTAATTACACTACCTATATTACTTTTAACTTAGCTTACCTTCTTTAGCGCGCACCTGCGTCTTTAGCTTCTTCTTATTACTACGCGCTCTAAACTCTTTTAGAGCAGTTAGATAAGCCTTATTTTTAACTATTAAAGTTTTTTTTACTTAAATTTACTTTCTTTTATGCAATCTATGTTATGTAGCAGCCTTATTTACTACTTAAAGCTTTGTAATCTTATAGCCTACTCTGTTGTATTAATGCCTTAGATAACTATTATCTACTTTTTATTACTTTACTATATTACCTTTAGCTATTCTTATCTTTTTAAAGCTATAACAACTGCTCTAGTTAATATCTAGCCTATTATAAAGCCTAACTTGTTAAAGTTATACCTGTTTTTATCCTAGATACTGTACTTAGCTTTTATATTAGCTACTAGGCAAAACTAGCTCTAGATAACCTCTAGATCCTTATAAAGCGCTCTCTTATAATTATACTTATAATTAAACTTTATTATAAACTTAGAGCAGTGCTTAACCTACATACTAGTCTAGTTTAAGCTAACCTAGCCTAGATTACACTCTACAGGTAAGGAATTAGCTATATTAGCTATAGCTGCAAGCCTAGGGGGAAATCTGTGTGTAATAAGCTTAAGTATGTACTTAATAACTACTTTTTTCTTAAGCTTAGTTAGATTTCTTAATTTAGGCTAGCATTCTGCTTATAAAGGCTGTCTAGCGCGTTAATTGCTTAGTGTTGTGTAAAAGATATTATAGATAGCTGCAGCGCGTTGTAAGAAGAGTTTTAAGTCTTATTTAAGAGCCTAAAGAGCAAGCTATATCTAATGTTCTTTAGAAGATTTAATCTAGTGTTGTTGTTAAGGCATTATGTAGATAGGTAGAGTTTAGTAGGGGCTTAGCAAAAGTGGCCGGCTAACCTGTGTAGCCAGCCAACCTGTTAGGTACGTTAATCTTATTTTATATTAGAAGCAAATAAGTTGCATTATAACTATTTTTAGTTACATTAGATATAAAAAGATGTAAAAGATAAAGAAATAAATCACTCTACTCTCTTTTTATAATAAAAACTACACAGGAGTATTATCTTACAGCTAAATAGAAATAGACAAGCAGCGCAACAGTTATAGTAACAATAGACAAGTTGTAAGGCCGAGATAGTGCTTACGTGCGACGGGTATATATACTATTCTGTACGCAATAATTAACTGTTGGTTAATTATTCACACCTTTTTAGTTGTATTAGCGTAGTGGTATAGAGCTCTGTCCTTACATAATAATCAACTAACAGCGGGGTACGGTTAGTGTTCGACCCCCACCTCGGTCAGCTTTAAGCTAGTTTTTAGACTGAAACGTGAGGCGGCCTCTTTTAGCGCTACGTTGTTGCTGCTGGAAGGTCTAGTGTATATGGCTTAGCTGGCGTGGGCCACTAAGCGTTGTTATTTATCCCGCGCCTCTAGGCCGCAGGTGGTCAGCCTCTGGCCGGTAACCGAGACATGCGCATAGGCGCCTCTGAGCTGCGGGTAGGTCATGTGACGCCTGGGACATGCGTCTGCTAAGAAGGGGGATAATGTAAGGCTAAGATGGTGCTCACGTGCGACGGGTATATATACTATTCTGTACGCAATAATTAACTGTTAGTTAATTATTCGCACCTTTTTAGTTGTATTAGCGTAGTGGTACAGAGCTCCGTCCTTACACAAGTTGCGCTACTGTAGCTAGTAGTAAATAAGAATAAAAGAGAAAGAAAACGTAAGTGTATAATAAATTTTAAAAAATAAAAGTATTTATGCTTAGAAAGAGTTGCATAAACTATAAGCTTTAAAGTAAAGCTTAAAGAGAGAAAAGTAGATGTTATAACTGCTAGTTAGGCTAGAGCAACATGCAGGTCACTAATCTTACAGAGGAAGAACATATTAGTGCTAGTAAGAGCACAGCCTGTAACAGTCACGTCACGCGATGCTCTAGAACAAGTATAGCATATACTAGGCATTAGAAGAGTAGTTGCAAGGCTTAGCAGAGTAGTCGCACGTTTAGGTTGCAACTACCCTAAGGAAGTCTACAACTACCCTAGGTAATTGCAGGACTTAGCAGAGTAGTTGCACGCTTAGGTTGCAACCACTTTAACGAAGTCTGCGACTACTCTTAGGTATATAGTCTTAACCTTTAACCTCTAGTAGAAGGTTGTAGTTATTCTTTACTTTAGAATACAGTTCTAGGTATCGCAATATACTTAATATCCTTTCTAACTAGAAGCGTGTGAAGACTATTATTCTATTTATAATAGTATAAACACATTAGTTATCTTACTTCTTTAATACTCTACCTTCTACTCTACTCTCTCTCTACTCTGCAAGGATTGTATAGAGGACTGTACACTCTCTAACACTGCTGTAAGTTAGAGTATAAAGGACAAACTCCTCTCTTCTTCTTTTCCTCTTTTCCCCCTTTAACTACCTAGTTACCGGTAGAAGGCACCTAGCAATAGGAAAGTCGAGGTAAGATATTGTAACAGTAGATTTGTTTAGCAATTCAAGCACATTGTTACACAACTCGCCTTAGGGTACGTTAATAATATAAGAAAATAAAAAGAGTTAATAAAGTGTACTTAATAAAGTAGTTAGTAAGATAAATTTCTACTAATCTAAACTAGCTATTATTTATTTTATAAAATATAAGATAGTAATGTACGTACTAATATAGGCGAAATAGGGTACTAGGCCTTACAGGAAGAACCTGCAATATCCAAGCAACTACAGCGCTAGGGGGGAGACAGCAGAGATCTAGTTTAGTATCGAGGCAGATATAGAAGGTGCTGCGTTCCTCTAGGCTAAGGAGGCATGCATAGAGACTATTTACATGGTAAAAAGCGTTCTTTATGCCAATCATGAAGATGGCCTGAGCGCAATCTCTGATAGAGTCTAACCTTGCGGAACATACATTTTCCAAGTCACTCCTGAAATCTCCTAGGAACACAAAATTAGATGTGTGGTTTTCCGGAAAGACGTTCCAACTTTCAAAGTGTGGATATATGAGCCCTGATCATCAGCGAAATCCCTAAGCTGCTAAAACACCAGCGTCGATATATGCCTACAAATACATTACAAATCCGGCTGGAGGAACTGAAAGAGGAACAACCGCCCTGTCGACACCTTCTACACTAAGTTCTTGCGGTACAATCTGATCTTCTTCCACTGGGGAGGCATAGATACACGTTAGAGTTTCCCCTTTTGGATGCAAGCCACTGTCAATCGTAACATGCGCCTCTGTCCAGGCCTCAGGGTCCGTATTGATTGCGCAAAGAACTTCAGTGTCACTGAATATCCTCGACCACGCTACGACGGACTTCATTCTTCCGCCCAGGATGCGGGGTATATCGAAGTCGGATCCGTTTGTTGAGATCTCGCGAAGATATTGACGACCTCGTCTCAAAACAGTGTGGCGTTGCCTCAACTCGCAGATTTTGGAGACCTCTTCAAAAACTGAGTTGGACTCGTTGAAGAAGTGTCGATCCTTGGATCGGAAGGCACCGAAAGAGCCGCCGAACATAGCTTCGCGAATATACCGATCGTTGCCGCCTCTTCCATCGAACTGCTGCTCGGTGCCATAGTAGATGCACGGGATTCCAAGTGTTGTGAGGTTGAGGGCCAAGGCTGCGAGGGCAAGCTTGTCGCCTTGTGACTCAGAGCAGAACCGAGCCTTATCACTACCGCTACGCCAGACTTGGTCGTGGTCATCGATCATGGTGACGATTTTGTTTCGTGTCCAAGCATTGGAATCCTTCTTGAGATATGCGGCATTTCGAAAGAGGTCAAAGTACTCAGATGGATTCGTATACCCCTTGGGGAGCCGCCAGAGGTTTTCTTGAACATTTCCAATGCCGAGGGCAGCATTCAGACCTGTTGCTTCCACAGTCTCGAACGCGCGGCCGCCAGTTACTTCACCAACGAGAAAGAAGTTTTCCTTTCCGATCGTTGACGAAAATTCATGGAGTGTGGTGCAGAGGTAGCGGGTTGGTCCGTCGCCCATGTGCTTTACGGTATCGATACGATAACCATCTAGATCAGCGTATGCAATCCAGTACTTGTAAGCCTCGCAGAGCGTCTTCAAGGCTGAAGTAGGCGTGAAGTTATCTGGAGCATCTTGACCAAGATTGATATCTTTGAGAGAGAGGAAGTCGCCACAGATATACTCGGGGTAATGGTCCCAGTTCGATATCGAACCTTCGCAGGTGAACGAACCAGGAGCCTGCAACTCGGCGGGCCAGATGGCGCAGCTGTCAGCATCCTTCGGGGGGTTCTTCGGATCAAGCGGTTTAAAGGGAAGAGTGGGATTGTGAGAAGAATCACGGAAGCCTTCAACCTCAAACTTTTGGCCGTTCCATTGACAGTCCGGGCGTTTGTAGGCAAATACATCCCCGCTATGGTTAAGAATTATATCGAGAATTACGTAAATACCGTGAGAATGTGCGTTCGTCACTAGATTCCGGAGATCTTCCTGAGTTCCGAAATGAGGATCGATTTCGAGAAAATTTTGTACGGCGTATCCGTGGTAGGATCCCTCATCATGTGGAACTTGCTTGAAGATAGGTCCAATCCACAGCGCAGTAACACCGAGTCGCTTGAGGTAGCCAAGTTTGCTGTTCACGCCTTTCAGGGTACCACCCTGGAAGACGCCTCCACTCTCTTCCCAGAGCTTCGCGTCACTTGCTAGATTGATTGCATTACCATTATCTGCAGGAGTATAGGCCTTTATTCTTCCCTGCACAGGTTGGTTCTCAAGATCCCGAACACCGTCTTCAAGGGCGTTGGAGAAGCGATCCGGGAGAAGGAAATAGAGTTGCTGATCTTCCCAGGCGGTAGGGGAAGGGTAGTACTTCCCCGAGAGGGTTGGGGCCTTAACAATCAGATCTCGTACTTCGGGGTCACTGATGCTGCGTGGATGACTTGAAGAGGGGCCAAAGGTAGGAATTTGATTTTCGAGCATGCTTGGGCTGTGGAAGAATATGTGAGGATAAGGAATATTCTAGCCGACAGATGCGAATAACGAAGGGTAGTAGGGGATAACGCAAGGCACTTTTTATACATTAATGTTGAATGGACCCTGTCGGCTATCTCACGCTATTGCTTCTTTCGCTTCAGCTCAGCCTTATAACGCCACCATCTCGTCTTCATGCAGATATGAAGAAGGGTAGAATGGTGCGGTTGCATGACCCGAGAACGAGCTGAAAGCTGAGGGTACAGTGATGAAAGACGAGGCGTTATCCCTCCAAACACTGTAACCGTGCGTGGGCTGAATCTCACCATACGCGGTGTTTTGGGGCGGTGACGTTGCACCCTAGTTGACCGCCCTTTTAACGTTTATCGACGCCTAAGCCTTGAGTAAGGCTGGGGGAAACGTGAAGAGCCTTGTTCGCGAAGCTTTTGGAAAGAAAGTGGAGATGAAGCCTCGGGAAGTTGCGTGTTCCGCCAAGACTGCTGAACCTATAGATTTTATCTCGCACCTTTTGCCTTGACATGCAGCCACCAGGGTCGCAAAGTGCACCCATCCGCAGCCTCACTCTCTAGCGTCTCGCCCGTGCCAAATTCCTCCTTTCGCTGAAACGTCGAGAGTGCACCGAAAATCACCACAATGTGTTGTAAGGCCGAGATGGCGCTTACGTGCAACGGATATATATACTATTCTGTACGCAACAATTAACGGTTGGTTGATTATTCGCACCTTTTTGGTTGTATTGGCGCAGTGGTACAGAGATCCGTCCTTACAAGTGTCCCCCTCTCTGCATCCTCGGATGGATGGTGACCTTGATTGGTCGGTCTCCCTGGAGCCTTCGTAGGGAGACATGACGCGTGCGTAGGGACTTAGAAACCTAGGAATGCTATTAACACCAATAGGCCTTGTACAAAGGATATTAGAAAGCTACTAAGCTAGCTAAGGGGGGAAGGTGCAACTAAATACTTAGGGGTGTAGGGGTACAGCAGGGGGCAGGGCAGGGTCGGAGCAGATACGAGGAACCTTCGGATATAAGGTTTGCCATGGAACGATTTAAGCGAATTGTTCAACCGCAGGTCTGCCTTACGCGAGACGCTGGATAGTACGCTAGCGAGCATATACGAGTAGTAGATGTGCTTGTATCTCCTCGTCAGTGAATTCTACCGGACAGAAGGGAGCCGCTCTAGGGTTGGTTTGCCTCCAGCTTAGCAGCGATGGTTAGCCTTGGTATGTGTTGAAAAGATCATGGCTTTTCAGGAGCTCTACTTTTTGACTGCCCTGTGTTGCTCTAAGGAGAGCCTAATTTACCCCACATGGTGTATCACACTTTAGATACAAGAACACGTAGAGAACTAGGACTAGATTATCCGTTCCTAAGGCCAACACTAGTGAAGCCGCACTCCTGTTCCCGTGCAAGTCTATTGCACCGACTCTTCAAAGCTTGGGTCCGTGACGCTGCCGCCGGCATCCCCCAAACCGGCGACTGGGCGGTTATAGCTCCAGTCTGCAAACTGTTGCTGCATGGTCTGTGAGAGCATCGGGCCGGCGACATAAGAGTCGGTCGGGGGCTCTGATGTGAACTCGTCGTTGAAGTTTGCCGTGTCGCGGGCGTCGGTCACGTTAGGCTTGAAGCTCGGCTCATACTTGCGATCCAGCAGCTTTCGCCAGTCGATGCCGTGAAAAAAGTAGTGCGCCTTAATCTCAGCAGCCCCATTGACACCTAGTCTCCGCTTGGGATCGCGATCGAGTAGACGCGCCAAAAGATCGCGCGCAGCTGGTGGGACTAGGCCTGGGTTGTTTTGGTGGAAGTGTAGCGGCTCGTGGAGAATTTTGCGGTACATTTCGTTGGTATTCTCATCGTAGTAGGGAGGAAGTCCGGTTAACATCTCATATAGGAGCACGCCAAGGGTCCACCAGTCAACTGTCTTGTCGTAGCCGCCGTTGAGGAGAAGCTCGGGAGCAAGATACTCTGGAGTACCGCAGAAAGCTAGGCAAACGTTAGCTCAAAGTTACTAAATATGTACTAAAGAAATGAGGCCTACTATTTGTCCTTTCGCCCTCGCCCATATTGAGCTTGCATAAGCCAAAGTCGCAGAGCGCAATGTGCCCAGTATAATCGAGCAATATGTTTTCGGGCTTCAGGTCGCGGTATATGACATTGAATCCGTGCAGGCATTCTAGTGCGCAGAGCAGTTCTGCAGTGTAGAACCTGGCTCTATTTACACTAAAAGTCTGCTCCTTTTGCAGGTGGTAGAAGAGCTCCCCGCCGTTTACAAACGCGAGGACGAAATAGAGCTTCTCCGGTGATTGAAACGAGAACTTGAGGGGCACAATAAATGGGTTGTTAATCTGCGCCAATACTGAACGCTCAGCCAGGGTATGGGCGACTTCAGAGCGTGAGATGATACTAGCCTTGCGGATCGTCTTGAGAGCGTAGATACGACGGGTGTCGCGCTTCCTGGTTAAAGTCATTAAATCAGCAGTAATTCTCACTCGCGACATAGCACTTACTGAACTTGCAAGACCTTCCCAAAGCTACCTCTACCGACAACTTTAAGCAACTCAAAATCGTCAATCGACAACGACTGCTGTCGGGCCTCCACAAACTCTATGCCCACTTCAATCTTGCCGGTTCCGTAGCTGATGTCAAGCCACCCGGTACCAGACTGGCCGAAGGAGTCCTCCTGCTCTTCGCCTTCGTTCTCGTTTTTCCCGGCGTCATTATGAGCCCTCACTTCCTCAAATCTAGGCTTGACAGTAACTGTGCCAAGGAAGATGTCCTCGCTACGACCAACTTTCGGAGCTGCAGTCAGGTTGCGAATGTAAAGCGACAAGAAGAGGTCCGTCGCCCTTGAGACATCAAATTTATACTGCGTATTGTAGCCAGCCCAGACCGGGTTTTCCGGGGTGCCTGAGACGGCATTGATAAAGACTTGCTGCTTGTCGAAGTCGAGGAGGGCGTAAGGCAAGTATTTTGACGAGTAACGGCGGCCGTTGACTGTGGGGGCGTTGTTGATTGTGTTGGTTGAGGAATGCGGCCGTCCTGAAGCGTAGGAGCCTGCTGTCTGCCCCCGCGACTCTGGTCGGTTCGAGGAGTTGTAGTCGCCGCCGGTCGAATGTGAGCTACCGTATCGTGGGACGCTAAAGAGCTTTTCTGAGCCCGGCGGTAGTGAAAAGCCCCTGCCCTGGTGGAGGGTGAGGATAAGAATGCCGGGCTTGGTCGAAGTTTGGGGAGGGTTGACGTTTTCGGCTAGAAATAGCTAGTTAGCGTTTAGGCCGGTTCGCGGTAGACTGCGTGCCCGTCGTACCTATGTTATTCGGCTCCTTTGGGTCATTCGAAATCGAGCCCGAGATGCTCGGCTTGGGCCAAGGAGAGTCTCCAACAGTTGTAGATGTAGACGAGGAGCGAGTAAAGCTGTTGGCGAACGGTGCCAGATGTGTGTCCTTAAGCTCTGCCAATGATCAGTCGAGGAATCTCCAGGCTTGCACAAGCAATAGCGTACTCTTAGTCAGCTTCCACGACATACTAGCGGTGTGAGCAGGTGCCAGGTTAGAGGGGGTGAGGCTGCAGGTGTCGAGGTAAGTCTGGCGTCCAGGGAGAGGGGTAGAGGTTGCTTAACTGAGCGAGTAATGTCTCACGCTTGGTAGCGCAAAATGGGGCGGCTTCCAGTGGCAGGGTAAGAGTCTAGCCGCGGCGCGCCACTGAGGCTTTGCCTAATTAGGACTAGTGCGCGGAATTACTTTGCTCCGCCGCAGCGCGCGCACGTGAGAAGAGCCAGGATCTTAAGCAGCTTTAACTAAACCAACTCTCCTATTACTTTCACCACCTCACCACCACCACCACCACCTAGACAATAGTACGTATAGCCTAATGCCTTTGCTTCTTATTATCTTTCGCTTTGCACTTAAGTCCTACAGCTTTTTCCCTACTTTTGTACAGTGATTTGCTAACTTTTTAGCTGCAGGCAATAGCACGCTTACTCCTCCTCCCCCGCTCTCGCTCTCCTAGAAGCTCCCCCGCCCAGGATGCTCCCCAGAAGCGTCAGAAGGTCGCCGGCAGTAGGACGCCGTCTGTCCCTACAAGCCTATGATATATAATTCCTTGCTGCTTCTACTATTCTAACTGCTTAAGCTTAAAAAAATACAAGGTTTAGATTAGTTACTTAAAAAGTAAAAAGCTTCTACACACTTTTACTTTTACTATAGTAAATAAAAGGTGCTGTAGAATAGTAGAAGCTTGCCTTTTTTAAGCTCCCTAAGCTTAGTTCTTTAAAACTCTAGGTCTATAAAAATAGCAGCTATGCTATAAGCTTTTACCTTTGTATCTGTTACAGTCTATGGTTGGACCAACGTAACTCCACCCGAAGTGCTCCACAATCTAGCTAGGTTGGGGCAGAGCTTGTTTACGAACCAATCGGAAGACATGGAGGCAGCGCAGCTACCTATGACCACGGAAGAATGCACTGTCTAGTAGGAAAGGAAGGCTAAGGAAACAGAACAAGTTAAGCAAGTTAGCTAAGTTACTCTAAGCAAACTTATCTAAACTTAACTAGCTTGTTCTTAGCACTATTAGACATGTATATAGTTCTAACCTTAAATAACCTTTAAAAGGTATGTTTAACATTTAGTTTATTCTTTACATAGACTAAGTGTAACGATTCTACGAATCGTTCCATCTCGGGTCGCTCGGATCCTATCCGATGTAACGATCCTCATGAATCGTTCCATCTCGAGTCGCCCGGAACCTCCGGAAGGCCCTCGTATCGGCCCCGACCTCGACCTGGCCCCGACCCCTGCTGTTACCCCTATTCCCTCATGTATTTAGTCGCACCTTGTCCCCGTAGCTAGCTCGGTAGTTTTCTGATATCCTACGTACAAGGCCTATAGGTGTCATTGGTATTCCCAGGTCTCTGAGTCCCCACGCACTCCCATATGCCTCCGAGTGGATTCATACCGCATTCGGACCCATTGTCTTGCCTGCGCCGTTACATCCGAAGGGTCCCTGTATCGGCCCCGACCATGACTTGACCTAGTCCCCCGCAGTTACCCCTATTCCCTCATGTATTTAGTCGCACCTCGCCCCTGTAGCTAGCTTAGTAGTTTTCTAATATCCTTTTGTACAAGGCCTATAGGTGTTAATAGCATTCCTAGGTTCAGAGTCCCTACGCACTCCTATATGCCTCTAAGTGGATTTCTACTGCATTTAGACCTATTGTCTTGCCTGCGCTGTTACATTGTATTAGAAAAACTTACTTTTACTAGTAACAGCCTTATTAATAATATTGCATTAATTATTTATTTAACTATGTCTAACTTTAAAAAGTGTTTAATTTAGTTTAGGTTACTGTTTTTACACACTATTATATTAAATTATTTAGTTATTATAGATAAGATCCTAGAGACCTTTTATTAACTAAAGCCTTTAAGTTTAGAACTTTTTATCTCTTATAATTAAGATTGCTTTTAGAAAAGTTGTAAAAAGTGTGCTAAGGTAGAAACCTAAAGACTACTAATAACTGTTACAATCCCTGCTTTAGGGAAGCACTCAGGTCTTATGATACTCCTAATAGGGAGTAGGACGGAAGGTAGGGGCCAACTGGTAGGGTGTACAGTCCTACGTACAGGCTATTAGGCTAATAGAGGGGAGTAGGGTGACTAGATTGTAGTTTGCCCTTTATGCAGCAGTAGAGAGGCTAGGGTTAAACAGTCCTGTTAGACAGAATTAGAGGTATATATAGTGTAAGATATATAAATAGTATTACAGATTTTTAGAAAGCTAAATGCTACTTAGTTTATATAAAGAATAAACTAAACATTAAACACACCTTTTAAAAGTTGTTTAATGTAGAAAC